TAAGTTCCCCAATAACCTTCCCTATCCTCCACAAATTGTTCTTAGTCATCATATCCAATGGTAACCCCCAAACTTGCACCCAAAACTCAGAAAAATGGAAATCAAAATCGCTGATGATGTACTGAGGCTGATATGTTTTTAACACCAACAAGGTTCCCATAACAGACCAGGGACCTTCCTCCAAAATCTTATCTCTATCACTCTCCTCTTTGAACATGAACATGTACGTATTTCTCTCCCAATATGTAATGGAGAAACCTTCAGTCATTTTTTCAGGAAATTTGCAAAACATTGCACACCCCATGTTTGTTTAGGTTAGTATCTATGTAAAAATGACCCACAAGATAGAATTTCTCAACATTCTTAGATGTGGAGGGGTTTGAGAATAAAGAAATACGGGGAAGAGGGATGGAATGTGAGTCGGCTTCTGTATCTCTCTCCATAAAGGGCAAGGATGATGGAAGAAAGGGTGGCCCAGACCAAACAAAAGAAAAAGAGGCTAATGAAAACGATGGAATGGACTAGAAAAGGACCAAGGTAAGCCAGAGAAAAGAACAAAGATGTGTCAAAGAAAGGAAAGAGAACCAAAAGAGGTCACCAAATAGCTGAAATGTAAGGGTCCAAAGGAGAGAGAGAAATGCTGGAAAAGAAAGGGACGACCAAGGGCAGAAGAAAGAGGGTAATGAGAGATGGACACTATGAATGGGGAACAAAAGAAAGAAAAACCATGGCCAAGTCAAATCAAACAATGTGAATCATTAAAGACGAAGTAAATGAGGGACAATTCGGGTACCTGGACGAGAAGTGTTCAATGGATCAATCAACATTGAAAGCATAGAAAATAGGGACCAATGAGCCCATAAAAGCAAACCGATCAGGAAGACCTTAGTATAAACCCTAACGAGGGTGACGAGCTCTTATAACGAGAGAGATGATGTTGATGTTGAGTATCCCTTCGAACACAAGACTTACCATTGTAATTTAAAGTATTTGTAAACCCCAAGGGTTGGGTTGTTTAGTGGGAGAATGGTAAAAAATACAAGAAAGATAATTTTTTTTTAATTTTTTTATGTGTTTGGTTAGTATGAAATGAAAAATAATGAAAAAAAATAATTTTCTTTAATGCTTGAATATTTTCACAACTAACAAACTTTTTTTTTCTTGTAAAAAATAAAAGAAAATTGTGATCTATATCTAACTTTTCATTTTACCCTTATTTTTTTTAAATATTTTATTGGTTATTAATTTTAAAAAATATTGGTATGAATTTCATTAACTATATAATTTGGTCCAAGAACCTTTGTGTGGGTGCTTGTTCTAGAATTAGGTTATAAGCCATTTTTTTTAAAAAAATTTAACTTTCAATTATAATTTATATTTTTTTCTTCTTTAGGCTGATTTAATATAATTAAAAATAATTTAGATAAATAGAAAAATTTTATTATTCTTTCAAATAATAGCATGAATTTTTTTTAAAACTTTCTTTCAATTTTTTCATTCTAACCAAATACATGGACAAAAATATATTTTTTTATCATTTTTTTTTTCACTTTATTTTTTATTATTTTTATTTTTCAACATTATTTTCTTCCTAACCAAACAACGGAAATAAAAGGCCAAGTTAAACAAGTAATTGTTCCTTTTGAACTTAAAAAAAAAAAATGTAACTAGAAAAGGTGTAGACTACATTCTCGGGGGGCATATTCGACATTTAAACTCTAACCACGTGTCTGATTATCATTAGCCCAGCCTACTTCTTTACAGTTGTGATGAATGTATGACCAGCTTCACAGTATTTAGGGAGGGTAGCCACCGAATCCCGATGGCTAAATCGCAGAGTCTCTTTCTTTCTTTCTTTTTTTCTCTCTATCCCAAGTCTTCCAGAGTCTCAACTTTCTCTTCTCTCTCCCTCTCTCTTTTTCATCCATACATCTATATCTGCTTTCCCCTAAATTTTATCTATCCAGTCCTGTTCAAATTCCTCCGATCTCCTCCGATTTTCACCATGGTAATTCTTTCGACAATTTTCAGTGCACTTTTAGTTCTGTATATGACTAACTAGTAGTTGCTTCACGTGTATGTATCTTTGTATGTAGGTTTAGATATATTTCTTTGAATTATGTGATGTTTTGGTGATTGATCTCTGATCTCTGCGGTTTGTGATCGAAAAAAAACCCTATATATTTCNTCTCCTTTATCATGGAGCTTCCCTTTGAGCTTCTCTCTTTTTTCCATATTCTCTCGAGCCAGTAATGACCAAGTTTCCCTGAAAAATCCTAAAGAAGAATTGCTTTGGGCTCGCAGATATGGACCATATTGGCTCTTGGATCCCAAATAACACCTCTCCTTACATTGGCTTTGTGAGTGACCAATCCTTCCACATAGATAACAGAAATCAGAGAGCCTCTCATACTTTAGAGTAATCCAGATGTCATCTTGGTTGTCTCGAGTCAAAAAGAAACCCTTCTTTAAAGGTTCCTTGAGGTTGATCCTGCACTTTACCCGTAGAAAATTGTGTTGGAACTGAACTTCATCACTGAATTCCTCTAACTGGGTAAGTTCCCCAATAACCTTCCCTATCCTCCACAAATTGTTCTTAGTCATCATATCCAATGGTAACCCCCAAACTTGCACCCAAAACTCAGAAAAATGGAAATCAAAATCGCTGATGATGTACTGAGGCTGATATGTTTTTAACACCAACAAGGTTCCCATAACAGACCAGGGACCTTCCTCCAAAATCTTATCTCTATCACTCTCCTCTTTGAACATGAACATGTACGTATTTCTCTCCCAATATGTAATGGAGAAACCTTCAGTCATTTTTTCAGGAAATTTGCAAAACATTGCACACCCCATGTTTGTTTAGGTTAGTATCTATGTAAAAATGACCCACAAGATAGAATTTCTCAACATTCTTAGATGTGGAGGGGTTTGAGAATAAAGAAATACGGGGAAGAGGGATGGAATGTGAGTCGGCTTCTGTATCTCTCTCCATAAAGGGCAAGGATGATGGAAGAAAGGGTGGCCCAGACCAAACAAAAGAAAAAGAGGCTAATGAAAACGATGGAATGGACTAGAAAAGGACCAAGGTAAGCCAGAGAAAAGAACAAAGATGTGTCAAAGAAAGGAAAGAGAACCAAAAGAGGTCACCAAATAGCTGAAATGTAAGGGTCCAAAGGAGAGAGAGAAATGCTGGAAAAGAAAGGGACGACCAAGGGCAGAAGAAAGAGGGTAATGAGAGATGGACACTATGAATGGGGAACAAAAGAAAGAAAAACCATGGCCAAGTCAAATCAAACAATGTGAATCATTAAAGACGAAGTAAATGAGGGACAATTCGGGTACCTGGACGAGAAGTGTTCAATGGATCAATCAACATTGAAAGCATAGAAAATAGGGACCAATGAGCCCATAAAAGCAAACCGATCAGGAAGACCTTAGTATAAACCCTAACGAGGGTGACGAGCTCTTATAACGAGAGAGATGATGTTGATGTTGAGTATCCCTTCGAACACAAGACTTACCATTGTAATTTAAAGTATTTGTAAACCCCAAGGGTTGGGTTGTTTAGTGGGAGAATGGTAAAAAATACAAGAAAGATAATTTTTTTTTAATTTTTTTATGTGTTTGGTTAGTATGAAATGAAAAATAATGAAAAAAAATAATTTTCTTTAATGCTTGAATATTTTCACAACTAACAAACTTTTTTTTTCTTGTAAAAAATAAAAGAAAATTGTGATCTATATCTAACTTTTCATTTTACCCTTATTTTTTTTAAATATTTTATTGGTTATTAATTTTAAAAAATATTGGTATGAATTTCATTAACTATATAATTTGGTCCAAGAACCTTTGTGTGGGTGCTTGTTCTAGAATTAGGTTATAAGCCATTTTTTTTAAAAAAATTTAACTTTCAATTATAATTTATATTTTTTTCTTCTTTAGGCTGATTTAATATAATTAAAAATAATTTAGATAAATAGAAAAATTTTATTATTCTTTCAAATAATAGCATGAATTTTTTTTTAAACTTTCTTTCAATTTTTTCATTCTAACCAAATACATGGACAAAAATATATTTTTTTATCATTTTTTTTCTTTCACTTTATTTTTTATTATTTTTATTTTTCATCATTATTTTCTTCCTAACCAAACAACGGAAATAAAAGGCCAAGTTAAACAAGTACTTGTTCCTTTTGAACTTAAAAAAAAAAAAAAGGAACTAGAAAAGGTGTAGACTACATTCTCGGGGGGCATATTCGACATTTAAACTCTNCCTTTTGAACTTAAAAAAAAAAAAAAGGAACTAGAAAAGGTGTAGACTACATTCTCGGGGGGCATATTCGACATTTAAACTCTAACCACGTGTCTGATTATCATTAGCCCAGCCTACTTCTTTACAGTCGTGATGAATGTATGACCAGCTTCACAGTATTTAGGGAGGGTAGCCACCGAATCCCGANCATTTAAACTCTAACCACGTGTCTGATTATCATTAGCCCAGCCTACTTCTTTACAGTCGTGATGAATGTATGACCAGCTTCACAGTATTTAGGGAGGGTAGCCACCGAATCCCGATGGCTAAATCGCAGAGTCTCTTTCTTTCTTTCTTTTTTTCTCTCTATCCCAAGTCCTCCAGAGTCTCAACTTTCTCTTCTCTCTCCNGATGGCTAAATCGCAGAGTCTCTTTCTTTCTTTCTTTTTTTCTCTCTATCCCAAGTCTTCCAGAGTCTCAACTTTCTCTTNAGTCGTGATGAATGTATGACCAGCTTCACAGTATTTAGGGAGGGTAGCCACCGAATCCCGATGGCTAAATCGCAGAGTCTCTTTCTTTCTTTCTTTTTTTCTCTCTATCCCAAGTCCTCCAGAGTCTCAACTTTCTCTTCTCTCTCCCTCTCTCCCTCTCTCTTTTTCATCCATACATCTATATCTGCTTTCCCCTAAATTTTATCTATCCAGTCCTGTTCAAATTCCTCCGATCTCCTCCGATTTTCACCATGGTAATTCTTTCGACAATTTTCAGTGCACTTTTAGTTCTGTATATGACTAACTAGTAGTTGCTTCACGTGTATGTATCTTTGTATGTAGGTTTAGATATATTTCTTTGAATTATGTGATGTTTTGGTGATTGATCTCTGATCTCTGCGGTTTGTGATCGAAAAAAAACCCTATATATTTCTTTTGATTCAGCTTTCGTAGACTGTGTGAGATGTTCTTTCAGTTCATAGATCTGATTTGAACTGTTTTTTATCATTGATCTATATGTGTGTTGTTAATTAGGATTTGTTAAGTTATCTGATCTTTGTTAGGTGGATAATATATGGCTATTTTTTAATGTTTAGTCCTAGAGATCTCGAAATATGTCGGTTTATTTTGTTGCAGTCTATATGCCTATATTTGTAGCTACTTTCTTGGAGATTTGTAGCGTTTTCGTTTTGGTTTGCCTAATATGGTTACAACAATATTATTGTCGGTGAACTTAAACTTGATTTCCGTCGTGGTACATGCTTTTGTATTCAGATTTAGTGGTTTTTTTTTAAATTGGAAATGCTCTGTTAATAGTAGCCTATGTGGAGTCTCATTGTTCAAGTGGGATTTTCAAATTGCTATTGTTAAGCTGTATAACGTGCAAATGCTAATCCTTGTTTTGTCTTTCTTAAAGAGCACATTGTTAGTGTGGGTAAGAACATTACTCTTACTTTCCTGGGAATAAAAAAACAAAGAATCTCACTTTTTAGCATGCAATTGATACAGCCTGAACTGTTATTAAGTTGGAAATGGAGCTGGGTTGGCCATTCCTGTTCAACTGGTGGATAGAGGATAATCAAATTTGCGAGCTTGTGATGTATTGATAATATATGAATGCTTCAGACTTTTATGTTTGGGGGGTGGCTTGTACTGGTATATCTGAAAAGCAAGAGCTAAATGAATTCTAGCCATGAACGAATTTTACCTATAGAAAAGGATGGATGAAATTCCAGTAGGATCCTCTAGACTTCTTCATGGGAATGGTCTATGGGGTTCATAACAAGTACTCTTACTACAAGATTTTTACCTAACCATTTGTTTTTGGTTTGCCCCCTCAACATTTGCCACTTGCTTGATTGCTATTGAGTAGTTTTTTGAATTATCAAATAGACATCTTCAGCATGTGGACCATGGATTCTAGGCCTTTGTGAATTGCAATACCTCACAAAATAATTCTTTTACGGTAGCTGAGTTATAAATGAGAAGGAAGTTTCTTTGTTTNTTATCAAATAGACATCTTCAGCATGTGGACCATGGATTCTAGGCCTTTGTGAATTGCGATACCTCACAAAATAATTCTTTTACGGTAGCTGAGTTATAAATGAGAAGGAAGTTTCTTTGTTTGTTTTATATTTTGAGATATTTGTGGTTCCTACTTTTATATTTTTTTTGGGTTCTTGATATCCTCCATGATGTTTTCTTTTTGTGAGATATTTTCATCCACCTATAATGCCCCCCAAGCATAGAAATAGCATTAGCTTTTGTCGATCGATTGCATATTTCCTTCCTCATGATATTGGTACTTAATCAAATTCTGCAACATTAGTGTCCTTTTATGAGGGGAGAAGGGTTTGACAATGTGATTTAGGTCTTGATAAAAATGAATTGTCTACGGAGGTCACTGGTATTTACTACTAGGGACTGATTGATGTTGTCATTTTGAACCTTCTAGGAGATTATATGCAGTTGTTTGTATTCCCATCTTATATTTGCTTTTCTTTCTCTTCTTGTGTGCAGGCTAATGCAGCATCAGGGATGGCTGTGCATGATGACTGCAAGCTGAAGTTTATGGAGTTGAAGGCAAAAAGAACTTACCGCTTCATAGTATACAAGATCGAGGAGAAGCAAAAGCAAGTGATTGTGGAAAAGGTTGGTGTGCCTACTGAAGGCTATGAGGACTTTACTGCATGCCTTCCTGCAGATGAGTGTCGATATGCAGTCTTTGATTTTGACTTTTTTACCGAAGAAAATGTCCCTAAAAGCAGGATTTTCTTCATCGCATGGTAATATCTATATCACAAGTCAGTTTTTTTATTTTTTATGCTGCGGTATGTAACTGTTGCTGTTTGTTTTTCTGTTTGCAAAGGTCCCCTGATACATCTAAGGTGAGAAGCAAAATGATCTATGCAAGCTCCAAGGACAGGTTCAAGAGGGAACTAGATGGTATTCAGGTGGAGCTGCAGGCAACAGATCCAACTGAGATGGGACTTGATGTTTTCAAAAGCCGTGTCAATTAAATTGAGTTCTCTAGTGTTGCAATGGAGTCATCATGCTCTTTGCTTCACTCCGGAGAAATGTTAATAGGTGGTGGGACAGTGGTACCCGGCTAAGATGTGATATTGGTTTGTTATGTAAGTTTTACTTAACAGTCTTGTCTTCGAGACGATTTCAGTTGTTTTCAGCATATTTGATGAATTGTTATGTGTGGAACTTAACCCATGATGTCTTGGGGGCTGGATAACAGCTTTTGGTTTGTTTTTACAACTTCAGAATTGAATGGTTGGCTGTATCAAAAACGAAAAAAAAAAAGAAATGGATGCTTGACCTTTCTTGTAGCCATCCTGACTGCAGGTTGCTGATCTAGTTGCTTTGGTATACTGTGAGATATTCCTGTGAATCCAATTGATTTTCTCTTTTTCTTTCTGTTAAAAAATCGATGTTATATAAACCAGGGTCTCCTATGAACATTGCTGGTTAGCTAACTGTATGTCAGCTAGTTGTTTTAATGGTGATAAGATGATGGGATCGAGCTACATTGTTATCCTATGGAGTTTGAGTCTGGTTCATTCTTCTCTTTTCTGCTTGTTTTTTGTTAGATTTCCTGAAATATGCATCTTGGGATTTTTTTTCTTTTTTTGCTCTGAAAAAGAGGGGGAGAAGGTGGGGAAAGAAGAATGAACAACAGGGATGCTACTTTTCTGTCAAATTTTGACATTTTTTATGAAAGTAGAACGCTGTAGAGATGCTTTAAATGTGTTCTTCTGTTTTCTCGAAGTAAATGGAGTACTTTCCTTTCCAATTTTAGGCATAGAGAAAACTGAGCTTTTCGTCATTTCCACGTGTGAGGAAGTTGGGATACGGGTTTAGATTCAGAACAAGATATCTCTGAATGACTCCATCAAATNTTTTAGGCATAGAGAAAACTGAGCTTTTCGTCATTTCCACGTGTGAGGAAGTTGGGAAACGGGTTTAGATTCAGAACAAGATATCTCTGAATGACTCCATCAAATTTAATTTCAATCATCTGGTAAGAATTCAAATTTTCTTCTTTGCGATGGAGCTAGGTTGGTTGTAATGAAGCTTGCCATGAGCTAAAAAAATTCAAGGCTGCGGAAATGTGAAGCTACAGATAAAAGGGGTCCGCATGGTATGTTTCAGCTGAAACACACTCGTAGATACCCTTTTTTTGGTTCCTCAATGGTAAGATTGACGGATAACTAGGGTACACAGACGGAAATGTAGAGGATTAAATGAGGTTCTTCAGGAGTTTCTTGGTGGATTTGGAAGACTTTTTCAAACCCATGTACTCTGGCTTGATTGTAAAATAAAGGGCATTGGGTCTTCAAGTCTTACAGTTGGAAAACTAAAAGGATTAAAAGAAGAGCAAGAAGATTCATGAACCGTCCCAAGATGAATATTCAGATTCCCAGGCACAGTTTACTGTCGGTATTCGATTTTTGGTACGTCACTTTTAAAACAATACCATCAAAATGAAGTATACACTTACAATGTATTTACAACCCCATTGGAAACTGCAAGGAATCAAGAATTTACTTCATGTCATCATTTGACAATTAACCTAGGGATAATCCGTCTCTAAAGACACATGTAATGTAAATGAATTTAAGAGAAATGTTAGACATTAAATAAATCTATTTAAAATCGTCGGATGGTCTTAGTCCGTTCTCTCAAAATCATATGTACATTCCCCGTCTAAACTTACAAATCTACAAAGTTAAGGTAATCTACAGAAAAGGAGAAATGTCCAACCATCTCCAAATCGTCCTACCCTCAGGATTCAACATGTTCAGATCTAGGTTCACGGTTAACGTAAAACCATCATTGTTCTGAATAGAGATCCCAGCTAATGTCAAGTGGGATTACAGACAATTTAGCTCGGGTACAAGAATGATTCAACCATCCATATAATCATTACACTTCAATCGCTGTACCCAACTTTACTTTTAAGCAAGTTCCGTGAATGAGAGCATTGTATGTTGCCCAATTTGGCTTCAGACCTCTTCTCATCATGTCATCACGCAGTTGAAAAGCTTTGTTTAGCTCTCCAGACATACAGCAGCCATATATCAACAAATTAAAGGCCAGTATATCAGGCTTCACACCCTTGTTCAGCATGGAGTCCCACAGCTTTGTCGCTCCCTGTAAATCACCCCTTCTACAATGCTCATAAATGATTGTTGAATAGCTTATACAATCTGGGGCGATACCATTCTGTGTCATTTTAGTTAAGGTTTCTGCAGCTTCCTCAATTTGGCCCAAGTTGCAGAAACCCCGAATGAGTATGTTGTATGTGACAGTGTTTGCTAGAAACCCTTCAACCATTGCATTGTGCAGCTCTACAGCTTTCTCCATGTGTCCTCCTCTGGAAAGGTGATCAAGGAAACAACCATGTGTAACCTGATTAGGAATGGAGCTGCTGACCAGCATTTCCTTGCAAAGGATCTCAGCTTTATCTACAGATCCTGCCTTACATAAGCCATTTATCATTGCAGTGTATGTCACAACATTTGGGATGCATCCTTCACTGACCATTACATCCCAAACTCCAAATGCCTTTTTAATATCTTCATTTTTGCTGTAGGCATCAATCATACTAGTATATATTACATTATCAGGCCTCAACCCCTGATCATGCATCTCCTTCAACAGATTTTCTATTGTTTCTGTCTCATGCTTTTTAAGAGCTGCATTAATAAGTACGGCATAACACACAAGGTCCATATCACTTCCTCTTTCCAACATCTTATGACAAGCATTCAGTGCATCCTTTAACATTCCTTCCTTGCAATAACCATGTAGAAGTGCGCTAAGGCACATCTCATTTAACTTAAAGTGCTCTTTGTGAAGGTCATCCACAAATTCTTTGGCTTCAGATACCCTGCCTGTCAAACATAGCCCATTTATTAGAGGCCTATAGGTATATGTATCAGGTACAAGACCCTTCTCCATCATCTCATCAAGCAACTTAAAGGCTATCACTGTATTACCCAGCCTACAGTACCCTTCAATCATAACATTATATGTAATCTCATTCGGGCTAACATTCCTTTCCACCATTACGTCAAACAACTTACTTGCTTCCACCATCATGTTTGCATGGCAAAGACCAGAAATAAGTGCAGTAAAGGTATACGTGTTTGGCAAACATCCTTTCCTAGTCATCTCATGATAGATCCTCAATGCCTTGTGCACTTCTTTTTCCTTGCAGTATCCATCTATCAATGAAGTATACGTCACCACAGTTGGAGTTATTCCTTTATCAATCATGTCGTTGAAGAGACACTCTGCTGCATTCAGTTTACCGACTTTGCAGTGCCCATTGATAAGAGAATTATAGGGATACACGGTCACTTTTATCCCCGCATCCCCAATTTTACCAAGCAAAAGAACAGCATCATCCAATTTTCCCCATTTACAAAATGAGTCGATGATTACAGCATATGTTATATCATTTGGACTCAAACCCTTTTCCTCCATGCTCATAAAAAGCATCTCTGCTTCTTCCAACTTCCCATCTTTGCATAAAGAATTGATCAATGCATTGTAGACAAACAAATTCGGCACCACCCCCACTTTATTTACCACCTCATAAGCACCCAAAATATTTCCATATCTCCTCAACCCATCAACAAGACTTGACACAGCCGCCTCAGTCGGAACAAACCCCAGTTCCACCATCTCATTCACCAATTCTTGAGCAATCTCAAATCCTTTCTTTTTACACAAACCCAACACTAATGTACAATACGTAATCACATCAGCTCTCAATCCCTTATGAGCCAACGCATTCTTAACCTCGACAGCCTCCTGAGCTCTTTGGCTCTTGCAGAGCCCACTGATCAACACATTATACGGTACCACAGTCAATTCACAACCATACAACTCCATATAATGTATCATTTCTTTTGCCCTGTCAAAATCTTTCAGTTCACACAAACTCCGAATCACAGCCGTGTATATATACACATTGGGCCGAACATTTGAGCTCACAATCTCATCAAACAAGCCCAGAACCATATCGAACCGCCTGATTCGAATCAACTCATTCAACACGACAGTTAAAGTCCTAATTTCAGGCATTAATTTACACTCCTTCATGAGCTTCACAATTATCACAGAATCCAGTACTCTTTTATTCTGAACATAATTTTGAATTAACAAATCAAATCCCAATGTGGATGAAAAATTGGATTTTTCAAACGAATTAAATAAATATTCAAAAATTAGTCTCGGATTTAAACTACGCTGAAGGAGGGTTTGAAGGATTGAAGAGGCGGGCCAGAAAAGTTTGGATTGGACCAAGGAGTGAATCAGAATGCAGAACGACACAGTGGAGTGATCGAAGTTTTTGTGAAGGCCTAAGAAATTGAAGAAACGTAAAGCTAACCTTGAATCGTCTAGGGTTTGGAGGAGGACCTTTTCGACATGATGTGACTTGAGGTGAGCTGAAACATATGGACTGTTGAGAGAGATTTTCCAGCTTTTCTTGCCCCGAACGATGCCGTTTAGGATCGCTATGAAGTTTTCGTCATTATCGAGGTGTTCACTGGTGGTGGTTGAAGAGGTAGAGATGGGGACGAGTTCAAATTTAGGGTTTGAAATGGGTCGGTGGGGACGAAGAAGGTTCTTCATTTGGTGGGGTTGAAATGTGGAGGGTTAGGGTTCCGGTTAGGGTTGAATTGATGCAGCCATGGCTTTGAGCTATGGAGAACGGAGAACTGTAGGTGTCGTGTATGTTGGAGGGGGCCTGTTTGGATGTGTTTGTTTCATTTGACTTCTGTTTGGTCTGGGGGAACTGATGAAAAGAAAAATTATAAAAACAAGGGTGGAAAAAGAATGAGAAAAGTTTAGGGCATGTTTAATTTGTGTTTCAAAAAATAATATTTGAAAATAATTTTTAAGAATAGTTTTAAAAAAGTATATTTTGATATTTTCTGAAATAAAGAATTTATTTGGTTAGATGATTTTAAAAATAATTTTACAAAATAAAAAATATTAAAACATGTTTGGACAGTGTAGATATACGTTTAGACAATAATTTAAAAATTAATNAGTATATTTTGATATTTTCTGAAATAAAGAATTTATTTGGTTAGATGATTTTAAAAACAATTTTACAAAATAAAAAATATTAAAACATGTTTGGACAGTGTAGATATATGTTTAGACAATAATTTAAAAATTAATAAAAAAAAATATGATAAAATAATTTTTAGATGAACAGTTTCGTAAAAAAAAAGTTTCAATAAACTAAACTTTAAAATAAACTAAGTTATATTTAAATTTTTAATATCACTTTATAATAGATTCAATATCAATTTATATACAAAATAAATAAATCAACAACAATAAAATTTNAGTATATTTTGATATTTTCTGAAATAAAGAATTTATTTGGTTAGATGATTTTAAAAACAATTTTACAAAATAAAAAATATTAAAACATGTTTGGACAGTGTAGATATATGTTTAGACAATAATTTAAAAATTAATAAAAAAAAATATGATAAAATAATTTTTAGATGAACAGTTTCGTAAAAAAAAAGTTTCAATAAACTAAACTTTAAAATAAACTAAGTTATATTTAAATTTTTAATATCACTTTATAATAGATTCAATATCAATTTATATACAAAATAAATAAATCAACAACAATAAAAAAANTTTAAAATAAACTAAGTTATATTTAAATTTTTAATATCACTTTATAATAGATTCAATATCAATTTATATACAAAATAAATAAATCAACAACAATAAAATTTTTTTTAAAAAAATAATGCCATAAATCAATTTATATATAAAATCAATAAACCAAACACCAATAAACCGAAAATGGACAAAAAAATTAAAAAAAAAATAGAACAAAAAAATATCAACACAAATTTGAATCCCAAAATCTACTACTAGTAACCAAAGAAAACTGATGCTGAAATCCAGATTTGAACACAAAAAAATCGATGTTGGACATAGATCTACTACCAGTAACCAAAGAAAACCACTAAATACCGACGTTGGAGAGAGAGAGAGAGAAAATTGATGCTAGAATCAACGTTGAAGTCAACACCAGAGAAAACCCAGATCGGGAATTTGGTGTGTGTTCTCNAGAGAGAAAATTGATGCTAGAATCAACGTTGAAGTCAACACCAGAGAAAACCCAGATTGGAAATTTGGTGTGTGTTCTTNATGCTAGAATCAACGTTGAAGTCAACACCAGAGAAAACCCAGATCGGGAATTTGGTGTGTGTTCTCCGTCTAGTTCACCAAAGTGGAGAGAGAGAGACAAAGGGGCAAAAAAAAAAAGAGAAAGACAAAAAAAAAAATTCTGTCAAAGGCCAAAAAAAAACTCATTTCATAGTAGGATATCTTTTGCTGCTAAGAAGGTTTGAAGGGGAGACCTCATTAATGAGTTGGTGTGTTATCCGTGTTTTCTTCTTTTATTTGCAAAAGGACCAAAACAATCAAAAACAAGCCCAGCTTGTTTTCTATTAGATTTGCATTTCAAAAAATAGTATCTGAAAACAGTTTTTGAGAAGAGTTTTAAGAAAGTGGTTTTGATATTTTTTGAGATAAAAAACTTGTTTGATTAGATAATTTCAAAAATAATTTTATAATACAGAAAATAGTAAAACCTGTTTGGACAGTCTAAATATATATTTGAACGGTAATTCAAACATTAATAAAAATAAATAAAAAATTTATTTTTATATTGACAATTTTATAATATATATATACTCATATCTGAACATCCAAAATTGTTCTCCTTATTTTCAAAATTTTCAAAGAAAACTCTGAAAATAAGTTATACTTGTTTTATGTTTGTTTGACTCAAATTTCATTTTTTTTTTCAAAATTTAGAGAACAAAAATGCTAAACAAACATATTTTAGGTGTTTTTAAAATTTTGAGAATAAAAAACTGTTTTACAGAATCTAACTAACACACGTTCAAAGTTTTTTCTTGTTTTTTTAGAATTTTGAGATCAAAAANTGTTTGACTCAAATTTCATTTTTTTTTTCAAAATTTAGAGAACAAAAATGCTAAACAAACATATTTTAGGTGTTTTTAAAATTTTGATAACAAAAAACTGTTTTACAGAATCTAACTAAACACGTTCAAAGTTTTTTCTTGTTTTTTAAGAATTTTGAGATCAAAAAATTATTTTCAAAAATCAAACCAAACACACCCTTATTTTCTTTCTTTTTTGTTTTGGTATGAGGGAAAGTGGATAGAGATTAAAAATTCAAAAGAAGAGAAAGGACAGAAAATAACAAAAAAATTTGTAGAAAAATATATTTTTTTTTCTTTGCCTATTTGAAATTTGGTAATTCCTATTATATGTGTTGAAGGTAGAGTTGGTAGAATTTAATGATTCTCCATTCTCTTTTTTGATTTCCTCTTCTCTTCCTTCNAAAGAAGAGAAAGGACAGAAAATAACAAAAAAATTTGTAGAAAAATATATTTTTTTTCTTTGCCTATTTGAAATTTGGTAATTCCTATTATCTGTTTTGAAGGTAGAGTTGGAAGAATTTAATGATTCTCCATTCTCTTTTTTGATTTCCTCTTCTCTTCCTTCCCCTCAACCCAAAATTTGGGTTGAATCATTCTCAAATTACTAATATTTTTGTAATCAACTTAAGTATATAATATGACTTATTTATGCAAGAGTAAAATCATTTATATTATATTTTAACTCAATTTTTTAGCATATAATATTCAAAATTTATTATCTATGATTAAATATCTTAACAAATATATGAAAAGTGATATACTATTTAGTATAATTGTAAGAATATGTCCAATCATGATTCAAATAATTACTCAAATTTAAGTAAAAATATGATAAATGATTCAATATAGACCACTCCAGAACATACTTTAACTATTACTCAAATTTTTTTAAAAAAGGATTCATATTAGCCTACAAAGTCTCTTTTTTTTTTTCCTTCCAAACATTTTCTTGCAAACTCAATTCTAGAGGACTTTGAAGCCCTTAAAACTAGTGTTTTGAAACCCTGTCCGACGGGTTGACCCGATAAATCGGTCACTAAATTGAACTGGGTAGGTAGTATATTAGATATTGATTGAGTACAAAATTTGGTAAAAACATGTTAAATCAGTTGGTTCTTGCTTAAATCCGATGAATTGGACAATTTGTGATAAACTAGGCAGATCAATTATAAGAGTACTAGTTATTGCTTGTGCCCGAAGGCACAGAGTAATAAAAATACTAAATAATAAACATATTTATATTTATATCTAAAATCAAATCACAAATATATAAAAGGTGATAAAAGAAATTTAAGTACCGTTTTGTAGTGGGGTGAGAGGTGGTGGGCGACAATGGTTGTGGTAGGAGACGGTGATAGTTGTNATCTAAAATCAAATCACAAATATATAAAAGGTGATAAAAGAAATTTAAGTACCGTTTTGTAGTGGGGTGAGAGGTGGTGGGCGACAATGGTTGTGGTAGGAGACGGTGATGGTTGTGGTGGGTGATAATGACCGTGGTAGTGGTGACAGCGGCGACAATGGTGGTGGTGGTGGTGGCGGCGACGACGACGATGGTGGCGGCGATGATGGTGGTTAATTTTCGTTGCTAATTTCATAAAAATTTCCATCATTAACTTTAATAATATGAGCAATAAAAATTAATAACATGACTATATTATAACACTTTTAATATATAGGAGGTATAATATAAAAAATATAATATTTAAAAGTATAAAATATAAAATTTTCAAATGAATGGTGCAAACTACAAAGTGCAATTCGTCAAGTAAAACTAGTTTCATGTAAACTCAACCCCCAAAATTCGCCGACTGCCAACTCATCGATCCTTGCCTCTCCCCATGATCCAATCAAAACCGATCTCAACAATCTATAAATAGGAAACCAAATCCTATCTTTCCCTCCATCTCGCTACCTCCTCAGACTTTGCTCTCTCCGAAAACTCTTTCTCTCTTTCTAAACTTTGGAATGGCACCCAGGGCTGAGAAAAAGCCAGCGGAGAAGAAACCGGCGGAGGATAAGAAAACCCCGGTGGCCGAGAAATCCCCAGCGGCGGAGAAGAAGCCGAAGGCGGGGAAGAAACTCACCAAAGACGGCGGCGCCGCTGCCGGCGACAAGAAGAAGAAGCGGACTAAAAAGAGCACTGAAACATATAAGATCTACATCTTCAAGGTCCTCAAGCAGGTCCACCCAGACATCGGTATATCCAGCAAGGCCATGGGGATAATGAACAGCTTCATCAACGATATATTCGAGAAGCTCGCTCAGGAGTCATCTCGGCTCGCTCGCTACAACAAGAAGCCCACCATCACCTCTCGCGAGATTCAGACCGCTGTAAGGTTAGTGCTTCCTGGTGAATTAGCCAAGCACGCGGTGTCTGAGGGGACTAAGGCGGTCACGAAGTTCACGAGTTCTTAAGATAATTGCTATCCAGGGTTTGTTGAATTTGGAGATTTAAAAATTAGGGTTAGGGTTTTGGTTTATATTTTCTGTTTCCACATTTTAGTTTTTGTTGGTTTGAATTAGTTGGAAATCATTGAAAGTACTGATTTTATGGTTTATCAATGAATTTGCTTTTGGCCCAAATTTTGTTTTGTGCTCTCTCTCTCTCTCTCACACACACACACACACACACACACACACACACACTCACACTCACACTCACACTTACTTATACTCACACTCACACATACACATACACATATACACATACTGTCTCTCATACATGCATGTATGTGTGGATACGTGATTATCATACGAGTACTGTTGGATTCGGTCACAGGAATGTTCAATCAGGTGGCTCTGGCTGTTTTTTTTGCTGTTTGATTCTTTTTTCTATATGTAACTCACTCAGTTTCCCTTATCAATTGGATTGTTCTGGTTTAAGTGATTTCGTGTGGGTCCTGTTTTAATCTATGGAAATGCTTTTGCCCTACATGTCTTTGACCCAGTGCTTTGTTTGTGCGGATGTAAAATTCTGATTAAGTTGTAATGCAGCTTCTGTTTGATTGGTTGGGTGTGAATAATAGGTTGAAGGTACTATTTGTGGATGGTGTATTGGTGTAGTTTACACGGCTTAAAAAGAAGAAATCAAGACCATTTCTGTACACATTGATCCGGGTACTGGAGATGGCTCCTTTTTTTGTGTGCGTGTTTGTAGATTTGAAGTGGTTTGTTGATGTTCAGTTATTGCTACTAAACTAAACATCATATATTAACCTTATAACGTGGTTTTGTTTGATTTAATAACAGTCAGGATAGTGGAGATAAATTGTTTTTTTTTTTTTAGCTTTGAAGATAGTGACATGATAATGGTGTCTTGGCTAAATGGTAGCAAACTTGCACAGACATCCTGTGCACTGGTTGTTGAGGTGCCAAATTAACTATAAGGCAATGATGCTGGTGTGTACATGAGTCATGGCTGAATTTCTGCAAACGTAGCCTTTTAGGATGTTTGCTAGTCTTTGTTGCTTTTCTGACAGGATGTTCCGTTTTCCTCTGTAGAAATCTACTTGACAAAATCCCTTCTGCTTCACTAATGCTCGAGAAGGTAGAACAAGAAGCTGGAGAAACTCAAAACAGTTGGGTTGTTGTGAGTTCAAGTAATGCCATCTTGCTCCTCTTTTTAGAAGGTGCAGTTTATTTTGTTTTAGTGAGCAGGTGCAGTTTATTTTGTTTCAGTATTTATTGACTTGGAGTTCTTTCTTGTAAGTGGTACACCTATCGCACACACACCATGTAGAAATGATGTTGCTTTTGATGTGTCTGGCAAGGCATAAAATTCATGTTGCAGAATGACTTACATATGGAAACTGGCTTTGGATTGTGCATTGTGTCCCCCATTTCTTGACATCGATGTTTCGGAAATTGAGATCAACGAATGGTTTGTCATTCAGCATCGGATATATGTAGTGGTGAAGTATACTTGACAGTGTTCCCCTGATGGTGGCTGACTTGAAATGTTGATTTTATATTGATGTGAACTAGTCAAGTTTGAGCTTTCTATTTTGGAATGAGTAATTGAGGATTTGAACTATTGTTTTGAAATACCAAGTGGTATCATGTACATGGTCCATATAGTTTACGAGTTTGTGGGTTTTCTGTTTTCAATATGATGGACTGAATATTAATTACCTTAATCACTAGGATGAAAGTTCCATACTAAACATTTTGGTTGAGGGAGATGTTATGTGCAANTTACGAGTTTGTGGGTTTTCTGTTTTCAATATGATGGACTGAATATTAATTACCTTATATGTAGTGCTAGAATCACTAGGATGAAAGTTCCATACTAAACATTTTGGTTTTGAGGGAGATGTTATGTGCAGTAAATCTATTAAAACAACATTTCATCTGCTATTCTGATGACACCGCATTTTCCTGATTCAAGTCTTCATGATGCTTTCTGATTGTAGAATAGGAAAACTTACCGGTATGAGCAACGATTTAACAGCAATGTGTAAATGAAAATTCCACATTACTGGTTTTGCTTTACAATTATTTTGAAGAATGATTTGTTTTCCTGACTAATTTAACCCAAGTTTAATTAGATAATTTTTCTACTTTGGTTGAATTTACCTAATTGCAACAGTAGAACAATTGAAATAAGTTGATGCCGGTGTCTTTGAGTGAATTTAGGTGCTGTCACATAAAATTTGCTTGACAAGCCCCAACTTGGTGCCCTTTGTTAGAATTATAAAGAAATTCAATTAAAATTTTTGGTTACAAGGCCGGTTGAGTTGAAGATTTATTTGGCCATTGATTTTATGTATTAAAAATATGCTTTTAATGGGTTGCCTGTTATAAATTACAATGGTTATATAAGTATGTTATTGGAGGTCACTTTCGATAGTTCTTAGCATTCAACTTGTAGTTAATTTCTTGTTATAAACGTTGTCTATAATTATATTACTACAAGTATTTTTGTGTTTTGGGAAATATATGATTCGAGTTAGGTTCACCCTTTTCTTTCAGTGGGCGTAATTATTGAGGAGGTGTTGTTGCGAGCGTTTGAATTGATTTTTGGAGTCGCTAGTGTTCATCAATACCTTCACACCGGGAGGCTCAGTTGTTTTAGGATAGTAATCACACACCTATCAGATTCGTAGGCCAAGTCTTTCTAATTTATAGTATTTATTTTATTTCATTTTAAGTTCATTGTTATTTTATGTTTGTTTATGTGATTTTGATATTAATTTATTAATTAAAATTATGTATAATCATGCTAATTTTCCCAACAATCTAAAGCATTTGAGAATTTGTTATAAAACAGTCCTTAAAAAATAATTTTCTAGTTGTGATAAAATAGTTTTAATAACCATTTAATATTATTTTAAAATAGAATAATTGTGATTTGAAAAAATAAAAAAAAAAACAGAAGAAGAGAATGAAACAGTATTAAGAAATATGTAATTGGTATATATCTCATGATATGTTTTTGTTTCACCGATTAGAAGCTTATCTTCTTCTAACAGTCCCTAAATAATGAGATCCCAAAGCACAAGAGTCTGCTTCACATAACCAAAGCAACTAAATAATCTAAGTGATGGCTCCATATTAGCCATTACCACTGAAGTTCCCTAGGACATTCTTTTATTTCCTCTCTAGACATCTAATTGTTTCTTTGGGTCGTCGATCCATACAAATACAAAATAGTTTTAATTTTTCGACATTCTTAGCATCAAAAACCTAACCATTTAAGTTTAGGTTCTTGTATCAAAATAAATTAGACAAATAGATACTTAAATTTCTAAGAAACAAAACGAACGAGCGTAGATATAGGAAATATGAGTCTGATAGAATTATAAGACAAAGCCACCTCATATATGATGCATCAGCGGAACATGCATTATGTAGATTGAGACTGACAAACCTACATTAACACAAGCCTTGTTTTGACTGTGTCTAAAACTTTCATAATATATAAATTTTTTATATGGATTGTTTTGGCTATGGCTTCTTTAATGCTATTTGGAAAAAGAAAAAAAAATAGGAAGGAATGCACTTGTTTCTGCATAGTCTTACCAAATCAATTTTGTCAATAATGTTTTGGACCATAACAGCATTCTATAATAAAATCTAATTAACTAATGGACTGTTATAGGTTTGTAATACTACTGCTGTAATTATGGTTAAGGTTTTGCTCAAATCCTTGGAGCTGTTGAAATATAGACTATTTGAATCTTTTAAAATTCAAGTTAGAATTTTGCATGGTCCTAGGTTGAAACCCATTTACTACTGGAATGATTGTCAAGGAGAGCAATTCATATAGTAATTTAACAGTGAAGTTCACATTGTGCATAATTTATATCTATATTTATATTACTTTAAAAAATTATAATTTATATCTATATCTATATTATTTTAAAAAATCAGCATATTTAAAAAATATATTTTTTTTTAAATTTATCCTTTAACATCACAACTATATGATTCACGTCCTCCAAACTTAATTGCTTCCCGTTGGCCTATTTAGCCGTTCACGTCTCCATGCATTGTTACTTTCTCATCCTCTTCTCTCTCTTTCTCCCCCTATTTCCTCTCTCAAATTCACAGGCCTAGGCTCTACTTCTCTCAGCTGTTACAGTCTCCTCTCTCCGACTTTGTCTGCCTCTTTTCTCTCTCTCTTGCAAATTCACAGCCCCTTCTCTTCATCTTCCCCGCACTCTATCCTCCTCAAAAAACCCAACCTCAGAACCACCGCAACAACCCAATTCACCACCTTTCCAATCAACCCATCTCGCGCTGCCACCACCACCACCCACAAACCCATATCAATCACTTGTTCAACCACCAGCCCACTCCAAGATCGCCCCGCCGCCACCTCCCAATCCTCAGATCGCGTCTTAAATTTTGCCACCGGCCTCGTCACACTCCCCGAAATTGTCCTCAAGAAAGCTGAATCTGAGCTCTACAACTGGCGTGGCTTGGGTATGTCCGTCATGGAGATGAGCCACAGAGGCAAGGAATTTCTCTCTATAATTCAGAAAGTGGAGTCAGATCTGCATGCCCTTCTTGATATTCCGTCTGAATACGCCGTGCTCTTCCACCAAGGTGGCGCCACGGCCCAATTTGCATATGTCTCATTGAATCTTTGCAACCCCGATGATCCGGTTGATTATATTGTCACCGGTTCTTTGGGCGATAAGGCTTTCAAGGAAGCGACCAAATTCTGCAAACCCACTGTGATTTGGTCAGGTAAATCAGAGAAATATACAAAGATTCCTGATTTCGATGCCTTGGAACAAGACCCATCTGCCAAGTATTTGCATATATGCGCAAATGAGACCATTCACAGGGTTGAATTCAAGAACTATCCAATCCCCAAGAGCAAAGATGCAATTTTGATTGCTGATATGTCGTCGAATTTTTGTTCAAAGCCAGTGGATGTGAGCAAATTTGGGGTGAATGCCTTTTTTTAATCTTTCGTTTTTTGGAACATGACTTTATTAATTAGGGCACTTCCCCCTATATATTTTAAGCATATGGACACTTTAAGCTCATACCTTCGCATCTTGCCTTTAAGTTTTATTGACTTGTATGCTAATGAGCGCTTTCTTTGGATTTTGTGACTTGAGTCACAGATGCTCTACGTTAAAGCACAAAAGAACGGTAACCTGATTTAGAGTAAGAGGATCATTTTGTGGGGTCTCTGAACTCGGTGAAGGGAAGTGAAACGTAAGCGAGGAATAAAATGTTGCTTATATATGACTCCTTTGTTGTGTGGATTCTGTTTCTAACTATTCGGTTTTGTGGGACTTCAATACAGCCATTTTTAGACAGAATGCAGCTTTTGACTTTTTATTAACTGCCTTTCATTGCAGACATTTGGAAGACAATCAATTCAGTGGGGAGATTCCTCAATCACTTGCAAACGTTGACAGCTTCCGCGAACTGTACNCTTTTTATTAACTGCCTTTCATTGCAGACATTTGGAAGACAATCAATTCAGTGGGGAGATTCTTCAATCACTTGCAAACGTTGACAGCTTCCGCGAACTGTACGTTCTACTCTTGTAAGAGAACAAGCTGACTTTGTGGACCTAAACTTTTTTCCGTATATATCCAGTTGTTCATGATCCTTCTACTAGGGATGCATCATTATGTAATCTTTCCTATGTTATATTTCGATAATATTATTTTGTCTCTGTACATTAGTTATACTGTCTTCGTAACTATTTATGATTACTGGCATGTCCGGAACTTCCCTAGGGCCTAGGAGGGCCATGAACCCTTCAAGTTTTCAAAAGCACCCAACATATATAAGGTATTTCAAGTTGTCCCCCAAGAGTAGTACAAAAATTGTGTTCTAATAGTAAAGGCGTAGTGACTAAAAGTCTCAAGAAGATCAGATAGTCACGAGTTTAAGTCTTAATAGTTATCGAAAGTGTAATACACATGGGACTACTATGAGGTAAATACATACATTTTCACTTTTTTATCGTCACACTATATTTCAAAATTGAGTAAAAATAGTTGAGTTATTTGATGAAATTAGGCTTAGATTGCACTGCAATTGTTGAATTACTGGGTGAATTGGTGTTAAAATTATTTATGATGTCATGAGATTGAATAAAATTTTGTGGCGCTAAAAAATTATGCAATAAAATAAAAATAACCTAATTGGTTGATGAATTGATTATAATTTTTTTCGCATGTAATTGGACAAATTTAGGTTAATTTTGTCAATTACCCATCTCTCCATGGCAGGGGAGAAGGGACAGTTGCAATCACCAACATGAAAGTTTTGCTTGCAGAATTCTTTCTTTGCTTATTAGTTCCCATCACTTCCTTAACTTGAACTTCATAATATATTTGATATATTTGAAAATGTGTGCATGTTTGTTGTCATGCATACACCCTTCTCTTCTTTCTGTGTCTGCATGCTTGCCCTGCTATGGGCGAAGGTCACATGAGTGATTGTTTAGTCTTGCAACGTGAAAGTACTCTCCCTTTTGACTGGTGTTTGTAGTAACTTGAGGCCGATTCATGTTGTTTGAATGTATAGTTTATTAGCTTTTCCAAAATATGCAATATAGAGATTGATAATAGATGATCAGGATTTGTGCTAGGGGTTTACCAAGCATATACTATGCAATATATTTTAATGAAACTATTGTCTTTGCTTTGGGATTCGACTACCTGTTGATCTTAATTCATCCCACAGCTTTGAATGGTGTGTCATTACTTGGAGTTTCCATCTTTGTTCAATGAGATGTTGTTTCATTTCTTACTTCGTTTGCCCTATGTGTGCTTCTTTCTTTCGGGTTAGAGGTTTGCTGGCTATTGTTTGAATGATTTTGCTTCTGTGTTGCTGTCTACCTAGCTCAAGCTTGACTCCCTCTAAATCTCTTCGATCTTTAGTTTTTTAGTTCTGCTTAACAGTAATATAATCACTGTTAACTTGATGGGGATTTTGCGTGTAGTTATATTATAAGAGCTTTTGTATGCAATACGGTTCATTGATATGTTGTTTTATGACACATGATGTGTTTTCGAATTCATGTATGTTTGCTGGTAACTGTTGAGGATGTTCATTCTTTGTATGAGTCGAGGCGTTTTATTTGAGGCTGGTGCAAATTCTTTACATTTTAAGCGCTGCATAATTGGTGACAATTTCTGCTGCAGGGGCGGTGGTAGAAGTGGCTATGGTGGTGGTGGTGGATGCCGAGATAATTATAGAGACAGTGGAGGTTCCAGCCCAGATAGGCATTATCACAGTGGAAACCGTTCGCGCCCATATTGAAGTTTTGTTGAGCAATTTATGTACTAAAATATTGTGGTCAGAGTGATTTTATTATGTTTTGTTCGCGGGATTGTTCTCAAACTGGAGACTTAAGACGTCTTTTATCTTCTGCTTCCTGGTGGGGGTTTAATTCTTAAGATTGAGATTGATTTGGATAGTCTCCAAATTACTGCTAAGGTAGGTTGAAATTTTCAGGTGAGTGCTCGATAGTGATAAATTGGAGATCAGAGCGACCTTGTCTTGCATTAAAGGTAAGAACTTCAGTCCTCTTTATCTTTGAGTGCTCGATTTAAACATGACATTTAACATTTTACAAGGATTCAAAATGCTGATGGTAATCTTCATACTTTTTGTGCGTGCATGTGTGATCCTTGTTTTGGTTTGTTCAACTTGTTTTTTGTAAATGTGTTAAGTTCCAGGTAAAATGTTTTGTTTTCTCCATCCATAATTGAAAATGAAAGATGTTGTATTCTAGGAATTAAATTTATGGTCCAAATGGGCACTTTCATTTTTGGTAGCTATTGAGTAACCCCTCCCCCCCCCCTGTTTTTGTGGACAGTGATCACGTTTATAATTTGTAGATACATCATCTGTTCTCTTCATCAATAGTTCCCAAATTTGTAGATTTTATACTTTTTTTAAAATCTCACGTGTTGGTTGCTTGACAAGTTAATCTAGATCCAAATATAAATAGTATCCAAGAACTTAAATCTTGGGCTGAGTTTCGCAATATTGTAGCTTCCGAATTGAGACATGCCCCTCTCGAGGGTTTTTTTTTTTTATTGGCCTGAGTGTCATGCCGTTCAATGTCATTTAGTTAGTAAGAAATTTATTTTTTTGTCGTTGTTGGTTTTTTGTACTATATGTAACGCCTACCTTGGTTACTATTGGTTTTTAGAGAGCACTTGTGTGTATTTGATGCAAGTGAACGTGTACGAAAAAGCTGTCGTAAAGTTTTATTGTTCGTACCATCGTCGACCCTATCTATGTTTCTACGATGACCCAAGAACACGCTCATTCTTCAGCCGTACAGAGACTTTTGAATTCTGAGGTATCATTACGAGCTCAATACATAGGAGTGTTATTCCGTGTAATAACTCGAATTTCAAATCATTTACTTGCTTTAACTACTCATGCTATGGATGTGGGAGCCTCAACTCCGTTCAAATTTATTAGATCACTTGAACTCTTTTTGTTAGACTAATTTAAAATGCATTTAGTACAGACCTATTTCATTGTTCTTTAAAAAATAACAATATGGCAATGCAGTTTTTAAGATTTTTATTTGTCATTGTTCTTATTCGTAGAAAATCTGGACTTCATTCAAGAGCTGTTGTGGAATATCTTTACAACAGATTTAATGGCTTTTATGGGTACAATAACAGACTANTGAGTGTCATGCCGTTCAATGTCATTTAGTTAGTAAGAAATTTATTTTTTTGTCGTTGTTGGTTTTTTGTACTATATGTAACGCCTACCTTGGTTACTATTGGTTTTTAGAGAGCACTTGTGTGTATTTGATGCAAGTGAACGTGTACGAAAAAGCTGTCGTAAAGTTTTATTGTTCGTACCATCGTCGACCCTATCTATGTTTCTACGATGGCCCAAGAACACGCTCATTCTTCAGCCGTATAGAAACTTTTGAATTCTGAGGTATCATTACGAGCTCAATACATAGGAGTGTTATTCCGTGTAATAACTCGAATTTCAAATCATTTACTTGCTTTAACTNTGAGTGTCATGCCGTTCAATGTCATTTAGTTAGTAAGAAATTTATTTTTTTGTCGTTGTTGGTTTTTTGTACTATATGTAACGCCTACCTTGGTTACTATTGGTTTTTAGAGAGCACTTGTGTGTATTTGATGCAAGTGAACGTGTACGAAAAAGCTGTCGTAAAGTTTTATTGTTCGTACCATCGTCGACCCTATCTATGTTTCTACGATGACCCAAGAACACGCTCATTCTTCAGCCGTACAGAGACTTTTGAATTCTGAGGTATCATTACGAGCTCAATACATAGGAGTGTTATTCCGTGTAATAACTCGAATTTCAAATCATTTACTTGCTTTAACTACTCATGCTATGGATGTGGGAGCCTCAACTCCGTTCAAATTTATTAGATCACTTGAACTCTTTTTGTTAGACTAATTTAAAATGCATTTAGTACAGACCTATTTCATTGTTCTTTAAAAAATAACAATATGGCAATGCAGTTTTTAAAATTTTTTTTTGTCATTGTTCTTATTCGTAGAAAATCTGGACTTCATTCAAGAGCTGTTGTGGAATATCTTTACAACAGATTTAATGGCTTTTATGGGTACAATAACAGACTAACAAATGGAAGGGCAAGTCTTCGAAAAAGTTCCAAACATTGTGCTTATGATTGTCATCCGTAAAAGTTCCAAATTCTTCAAGAAATAAACAAATGGCATTGATTTGGAACCTATCAATCCTTTGTTAATACAATACTAATATAATTATTGATCTCCGCTGGTTAATGTGTTTGGACAAGCGTCTTTGTAGTGGACGAGTAGTCTCCTTTTTTTTTTTCTCCCCCGATAAGTGGATGAATACCCTTCTTACTATTTGCCTGGCATGCATTTACAATGTTTTTTGGTCACTAAGTGCATTGAACTTTGCTGCCTTATACTTGTGTATCGGGATTTTGACAAATTTTCCCTTTCAATTGAAATGTCAATTCTTTCCATCAACAAAACACAATTGTATTTATGAAGAAAAAAAAAACCAGTTTGTTGTATTGAAACAAGTTTACAGAAATCTCTAATATCAACTATTACTGGTCACACTCAAAATGATCCACGTGCAACGCACGTGTGCATTAACTAGTTACTATAAAATGTCAACAAAAGTGAAAATTTTGTTTGATTATATTAACCCTAATAATATAGTTAATGTCCATACTACTTTTTTAGAGTTAATCATTACCCTAAAACAATTGTATAAAGTGATATTAGTGCAAAATTAATTACCCTCATTAATTACTAACAATGTATAAAGTGAGATTGGTGTCAACCTCAATAATGCAGATGAATTGTCAATGATGACAGTTGCGAAATGCTGCCCAAACCAATGCCTCTTACATCTCTCTGTCCCTCTCTTGCCCATGCAATTAATGTATTAGTTACTCTTTAGTAGATGAACCAGTTGATCTTCCATGGCTTTGTTAACAGTTCAGAAACATCAACGAAGCAGGTTGACAGATAGAATTCAAAGCGATTTCGAGCAATCTGTATATAACGTCAATTTTTTCCTAATCCTAAGACACTCATTTAACCTTTGACCATATGTATTTTAAAATAACTATTTTATTTATCTTCAATATATAGTTGCATTTTGGATGTATTTTTAATTTTCTAGATCTTCACAGTAACAACAAATTTTCTGGCTCTTCACTTCAATTGATGCATATTACCAACAGCCCGGCCTTTCAAACTCTTGATCTGTAAATTTTATTCTTTTATGTTTGGATGGCTCAAGAAAGTAGATGCAACATTTGGAATGCTTTTGTGATTATGTTGCCATTACTAGAACATGAGGAGCTTAAGTGCAGATTTCTGCGTACGTTTCTGATTTGTTCTGTCTTCTCTTTCTCCCACTCTAAGCTATCCCTGTTTTTGAATGTTCCTAATCACCAATATTGATCTAATATATCTTGTATAAATTACAACGTTACTATAATTGTTTTTGCTTCGTTTGTAAAAATATTAACAAATAGTTTATTTTCCACATTGTATGCGTATATATAGTCAAATGTTGAATTTGTCATGTGTGTTTACAGGGTGAGATTGGCAAACTAGGGAGGTGGACACATGAGCTTAGCGACCAAGGGCTGCTGGAGGAATGGACTACCGAAGTTTCAAACACATAAGAGACAGAATAGTAAGAGTAATATTACATGGACTTAAAAAATAGATTTAAAAACTAGACTTGATAATCTCAACCATTGAATAGGTAGCGGGTCCCAATAAATGTTGGGATCCACAGTAAAATCAATGGTTGAGATTATCAAGTATAGTTTTTAATTTTACTTTTAAGTCCATGTACCATTACTCGAATAGTAAATGCTACGCATCATCTACTCTTATTAATAGGACTTAAGGTGCCTTTACTTCCTTTTCTAAGTATGTATGCATCAACCAGTAGTTTCAATCCACTTATTCGATCTTAACCCTTTCTGATAGAATTTTGGTTTAGATGTTTGGGGACTGAGGCTTTCTCGCTTGTTGATAAAGTTCATGTGGAGCACAATAGGCCACTGGGGATAACATCAGACCTGTTCTCTTGAAGTAGTAGTGTCATATTACTTTTTATTTGCTCTTCGGCATGCTTGCTTAGATTTGATTGCTTATACAAACACCCTGTTTTCAACAACGAAGGTAGAAATAAATGATCCCAAATGTAACGATAATTTTTCCCCAATTCATCTTTTATTTGTTTTTCTCATCCTGTATTAGCACAATACTTCAATTAGAGAAAACATTCTAAATTATAGTAAGAGTTTGTATGAGTAATATTAATTTATTTTTTAGTAAATTTAAAATATTTTTCAAACTGAAGTAAAGTTTTAATAAGAGTAGGCTCATAAGAATTGTTTTTTATATATTTTAATGACTTATATTTAATTTTTCAAATATCACTAGATTTTAGATGGTAAAACTTTTGCAATTATTTAACATATTATAAACAATAAAAATATAAGTGTTATGTGATGATATTTAATTATCTACAAGTATGTTTTATTTTCATTCACATGTGAACCCTTTCATATTTCCACATTGCAGGTCATAAACAAAGCAAATGTACGTTGTTATAGATCAGCCCCTGCTCTTCAACCCTTTTGGTTCATCAGCTCATTTTTTTTTTTTTTTTTGGGAGAGGAGGGAGAACTTGAACACTTAACCTCAATAAGACAACACTTAACCTCAATAAGACAAAGTGAGACAAAACTTTCATAAGGTAAAGAGTATTATTGGATTAAA